ACTGACCAGAAGTACCACAAACTGACCAGAAGTACCACAAACTGACCGGAAGTACAACACGCTGACCAGAAGTACCACACACTGACCAGAAGTACAACACACTGACCAGAAGTACAACACACGCTGACCAGAAGTACCACACACGCTGACCAGAAGTACCACACACGCTGACCAGAAGTATCACACACGCTGACCACTGACCGAACCACACACTGACCAGAAGTACCACACACTGACAGAAGTACCACACACACTGACCAGAAGTACCACACTGACCACAACACGCTGACCAGAAGTACCACACAAGCTGACCAGAAGTACACACCACACACGCTGACCAGAAGTACCACACACTGACCACACGCTGACCAGAAGTACCACACACTGACCAGAAGTACCACACACGCTGACCAGAAGTACCACAAACTGACCGGAAGTACCACACACGCTGACCAGAAGTACCACACACGCTGACCAGAAGTACCACACACTGACCAGAAGTACAACACACTGACCAGAAGTACCACACACGCTGACCAGAAGTACCACACACGCTGACCAGAAGTACCACACGCTGACCAGAAGTACCACACACGCTGACCAGAAGTACCACACGCTGACTAGAAGTACCACACACGCTGACCAGAAGTACCACACACTGACCAGAAGTACAACACACTGACTAGAAGTACCACACACTGACCAGAAGTACCACACACGCTGACCAGAAGTACCATACACTGACCAGAAGTACAACACACTGACTAGAAGTACCACAAACTGACCGGAAGTATCACACACGCTGACCAGAAGTACCACACACGCTGACCAGAAGTACCATACACTGACCAGAAGTACCACACGCTGACCAGAAGTACCACACACGCTGACCAGAAGTACAACACACTGACCAGAAGTACAACACACTGACTAGAAGTACCACACACGCTGACCAGAAGTACCACACACTGACCAGAAGTACCACACACTGACCAGAAGTACAACACACTGACCAGAAGTACAACACACTGACCAGAAGTACAACACACTGACCAGAAGTACCACAAACTGATCGGAAGTACCACACACGCTGACCAGAAGTACCACACACGCTGACCAGAAGTACCACACACGCTGACCAGAAGTACCACACACTGACCAGAAGTACCACACACGCTGAAGAGAAGTACAACACACTGACCAGAAGTACCACAAACTGACCACAAACTGACCAGAAGTACCACACACTCTGACCAGAAGTACCACACACTCTGACCAGAAGTACAACACACTGACCAGAAGTACCGCACTCTGACCAGAAGTACCACACACTCTGACCACAAACACAAACAGTTTTCAGCAGCATTAGAACAGAGCCAAAAAACAGAGTCATGGGACATTTAAAGTTTGTTTTGTAAAATAATCTTGGTCTTTGTTGTTCTCAGGTAAATCGGTGCTTCTTCATAAAGGAATCGCTGGGGCCATGAGAGCTGAACTGTCCGTGCCCTGGCTCCCGGTGACCTGCAGACTGCCCCGAGACTCGCCCACACAGGTCAACGTCTGCTCTGCTCTTCTTCTTTTCTTCACGTTCTTCTCCTCTCTGTTCTGTTCTTCTCTTCTCCTCTGTTCAAACACACATGCTCCAGAGTGTCTGTTTCATTCATGTGTCTGTTTGTTTTTTTCTCTGCAGGTTCCTGATGTTCTTCACCACTTCCACACACAGGACCTGAGTCCAGCCCAGAGTCCAGCAGGAACCTCACTCTGTAAAGGTCAGTTCAGCTTCATGTCTAAAAATGTTCTCACTCACAAATACAAATGCCAAATGTCACTTAAAAGTGCATTATGTTATTGGAGGGTTCACCACCCGCTGGTCTCCATAAGATTTGCCTTTATTAGTCCCACAGTGGGGAAATTCCAGTGTTGCAACGCGCAGTTTCAGAACAGCAGGAAAAGGCAACATACAATAAAACAGATAATAAATAATAGTTTAAAAATAATTTAAAAATAGACTTAAAAATAATTGCACATCGATATAATTGACTGGCACATGTTCAGTGTGAACAGTGTTTGTTGTAAAGTCTGACAGCAGCAGGAAGGAAAGACCTGTGAAACCTTCACACAGCGAGGGGGAATCAGTCTCACTGAAGCTGCTCCAGAGCAGACAGAGCCTCCTGCAGGGGACAGAGCCTCCTGCAGGGAAGAGCCTCCTGCAGGGACAGAGCCTCCTGCAGGGGCAGAGCCTCCTGCAGGGACAGAGCCTCCTGCAGGGACAGAGCGTCCTGCAGGGGACAGAGCCTCCTGCAGGGGACAGAGCCTCCTGCAGGGGACAGAGCCTCCTGCAGGGGACAGAGCGTCCTGCAGGGGACAGAGCGTCCTGCAGGGGACAGAGCCTCCTGCAGGGGACAGAGCCTCCTGCAGGGGACAGAGCCTCCTGCAGGGGGTCAGACTCATGGTCCAGCATAGAGACGACCTTAGCCAGGACCCTCCTGTCCCCCACCTCCTGCACTGAGTCCAGAGGACAGACCAGGACAAAGCTGGACTTCTTGATGACCTTGTCCAGCTTCTTCCTCTCCCTCTCTGTGATGCTGCTGCTCCAGCAGACCACACCGTACAGGACGGCTGATGCCACCACAGAGTCATATGGAGATGCTATTGTTTGTCTTGGAATGTTTCACAGTGTGACATTAGACCTCACTGTTTCCATAGAAACACGTAACACCACCAGACCAAGTCACGTCTGTGTTTCTTTATTTTAATCTTTATTTGTCGGGGACCATGTACAGATTCATGAATCTTACAGAAGAAAAGATTATTTGTTCCTGATTTAGCTGCTGCTGGATAGTGTACTTGTACTTGTACTTGTACTTGTACTTGTACTTGTGCTTGTGCTTGTGCTTGTGCTTGTACAGAGTATACTTGTACATATTTTAGGGTTTTAAGATGTTTAAGGTCTTTCTAGAACCATAAAAACCACCTGTAATTTGATAAATGCAAAGTGAGTAACTTTAATGCCACGCTGTGGAACATTACAGTGCACCTTTAAGTAGGATTCTAAAGTGATTTGCCTGTTCAAATTTCTCACTCTTCTCTCTGACTGTTCCCTCCCCTCTGCTCCTCTGCTCGTCTGTCGTTCAGAGGAGAGGGAGTACCAGCGCGAGCACCTGCCGCCCGTCACCTGTCAGCTTTCCCATCATGCCTCGGTTCTGTCGTCGCTCCTGGAGCGGCACACGGCCGAGAGCAGCGCCGCCCACGACTGGAACCACGAGTGGAACAGTCAGGGCCTCCTGTCCAGACTCACGCCTCAGGTCAGTCCACAGAACTGAACTCTGCAGAGACGACACACGGGGAGGGGTGTACATGTGTGTCTATGGTGGAATGTTCAGCAGTTACCATGGTGACACAAGGCACAGTTTACAAACACTATCAAAAAGTTTTAAGATTGTCTGAAACCTCAAGAAAAAAAACAAAAAACAATTTAGCACAGGATAGAAGTCCTACAGGGGACATGATTACAGTGACGTTTGTGTCCTGACGTTTGTGTCTTGACGTTTGTGTCCTGACGTTTGTGTCCTTCAGGAGTACCGTCAGAGGAAACGTTGTCGTCTTCGTCTCCGTCTTGAGGAGCAGCTGCGTTCTGCGGCTCAGACGTCCTCAGACTCTGGATCTCACTCGTCCTCAGACCTTTCAGACCTGCTCCAGACCTTCAGAAGCTCCAACACACAGACACTGACCAAGGGCTCCCACTTCACACACACGCAGAAGTTCACCTTCACACAGGTGAGTCTACAGTCTGACGGCTTCATTACAGGTCAAACTGTTAAAGGCAAATTCTCCATCTCTTCAAATTATCTACTAGAGTACTAGAGTACTAGAGTACTAGAGTACTAGAGTACTAGAGTACTAGAGCACTAGAGCACTAGAGCACTAGAGTACTAGAGTACTAGAGTACTAGAGTAGAGCACTAGAGCACTAGAGCACTAGAGCACTAGAGCACTAGAGCACTAGAGTACTAGAGCTAGAGTACTAGAGCACTAGAGCACTAGAGCACTAGAGTACTAGAGCATTAGAGCATTAGAGCATTAGAATACTAGAGCACTAGAGCACTAGAGTACTAGAGTACTAGAGTACTAGAGTACTAGACTAGAGCACTAGAGCACTAGAGTACTAGAGTACTAGAGTACTAGAGTACTAGAGTACTAGAGTACTAGAGCACTAGAGCACTAGAGCACTAGAGCACTAGAGCACTAGAGAGAGCTAGAGTACTAGAGTACTAGAGTACTAGAGTACTAGAGCACTAGAGCACTAGAGCACTAGAGTACTAGAGCACTAGAGCACTAGAGCACTAGAGCACTAGAGCACTAGAGCACTAGAGCACTAGAGCACTAGAGCACTAGAGTACTAGAGCACTAGAGTACTAACCTTGTCCCCTCTGTGCGTGTGGCAGGAGGCAGTCGCCCCGTGCCCTTTGCCCCAGACTCTGCCCTCTGAGGGCAACACTCAGCTCCAGCAGCAGGAGGAGCTCTCCTCTCTACAATCAGCAGCTCCAGCAGATGACCTCTGACCTGGAGCAGCTCAGCACTGACCTGAAGCACAAGAGTGTGACCACTGCACAGGTACTACACACAGTACTACACACAGTACTGCACACACAGTACTGCACACAGTACTGCACACAGTACTGCACACAGTACTGCACACAGTACTGCACACAGTACAGAGTACTCCACCTGAAGTATCAGTACTTCACATTCTGTGTAGTGATGGTACTTTTACTGTCTCTCCTCCAGGTTCTGAACGACATAAACAAAAGAGAACGTGAAAATGAAACGAAGCGAGATCAGATTCAGGTGAAGAAGAAAACCATGGACCTGCTGCCCCAGGCCGAGGAGAACCTGCACAAGATCCAGGTGAGAGTCTGGAGGTTCTGGAGGGTCAGAGAGGAGCTTCTCCAGGTCTGAGTTTCTGGTGTCGTGTCTGACTTTCTGGTGTCATGTCTGACTTTCTGGTGTCGTTTTGGGCAGGCTTTGGTGGAGACGAGTGCGAAGCGCGTTCTGAGTTTGGCCGCTCAGTGGGAAAAACACCGAGCTCCTCTGATCGAAGAAAACCGCCGCCTGAAGGAAATCTGCAGAGTCCAGGACGTCCGTACAGTCACTCACGTTTATTCACTTTATAATAACAACAAAACATGAACTGAGTATGATTTTGTCTTTTTTTTTTTTTAGATGGAATCTTCTGGAAAACTTTCTGAAATCAGGTCTCTGCACGATAAAATCACAGTGTGTACGGAAGAGGCAAAGAAGAAAGAGGAAACGTACAAACAGCTGGTAAAACTGAAACATCCTGAACCTGAACTTATACAAAAGACTGTATATAGAAATGGGACTAACCCAATAGCCAAACAGGAAGTGAGCATGGGCAGAGTTCTGGCTCAATCCACTCTGGAACCAATTCACTTTCTATTGAGAAAATGTCGTCCCCTCTCTCTGTACCTGCTGCTGTTTGGCTCCTTGTTTTGGTTTTAAAATGTTTGTATTAAACCGCTCTACATAATCCTGGGGTTTTATATGGAGGACCAAAAATTACATAATTATAAATAAATAAATCTTGGAAAGTATTAAATTAAATGGTGAATAACAATTCTAAATGTGTAAATAAATAAAAGCTTTTACACATTATTGCATAAATTCTGGGCACTAAAAAGCTAAAATATGCTTGTAATTTTTTTTTTTTTAACTTTTATTTATTTTTAAATGTATTTATTTTATTACTACTGTTTTTATAAAAACATTTTTACATTATTTTTTTTACTCATTTATTCATCTGTACATGTATTTATTTACATATTTATATTTTATATTCACCATTTAATCTAATACTTTCCAACATTTATTCTTAAAAAAAATAAATTATTATTATTTAAAAAATATATTTATTTATAAATAAATAATTTTTGGTCCTCCATAGTTTTATTTCACTATTTTGTCCGTAAATAAATTCCAGTTCCTCATATTGAACTTGGCCCCAAATTTCCTCCTGTAACTGCAGCCTCAATGAGCTTCATTTGACTGGACCTAAACGCTGTGGTGACGTCACGTTTACTCAACACTTTTTTATACAGACTATGAGCTGTAGCTGTACTTTTACTTGTACCTGTACCTTTACTTGTACCTGTACTTGTACCTGTTCTTTTACTTATAAGTGTAATTGTACTTATAAGTAAAAGAACAGGTACAAGTACAGGTTCAAGTAAAAGTGTAATTGTACTTTTACTTGAACCTGTACTTGTTCCTCTACTTTTACTTGTACTTGTGCCTATACCTGTACTTTTACACCTGTACTTGTACCTGTACCATTACTTGTACTTGTACCTGTACCTATAATTATACCTGAACTTTTACATATACTTTTACTTGTACATTTACTTGTACCTGTACTTTTACACCTGTACTTGTACCTGTACTTGTACCTGTAAAATCTCCTGACGTGTCCGCCGTGTCGTGCTCCTCACAGGTGTCGGAGCTGGAGAGTCTCCCTCAGGACGTGTCGCGCTCGGCGTACACGCAGAGAATCCTGGAGATCGTCAGTAACATCAAGAAACAGAAGGAGGAAATCTTTAAGGTGACACAAGTCCCTCCGTGTTTTTAGATCGGACATTTTAAAAGAGAAGTATTACGTAAAATCCAGCAAATCAGCCATGTTGTTTTGAATGATAATGAGAAATAATCCTGATTATTGCTAATTTAAATGCAACTGAAAGATTTTTTTTTTCTGCAGATTTTGTCCGACACCAAAGAGCTTCAAAAGGAAATAAACAACCTGACGGGGAAACTGGACCGGACTTTTGCTGTGACGGACGAGCTCATTTTCAAGGTCTGTGGAAACCTGTGTTCACCTTCTAGGATTTACATTTATGATTTCAGATGAAGCAGGTAACAAGTGTAACTCGTTCACGTGAAAAATATACTTAAACATAAACGTATTAAAGTACCCGTTTTACTTTTACTCTTGCAGTACATTTTAAAAGTATTTCCTAAACCTGCGATGCAATAAAACCAGTGGTGGAATGGAACTAATTACAAATACTTACTGTACTTTTTTGAGTTTGAATTTGAGATTTTTTTATCCCTGTACTTATACATACTAAATACTTATACTTACATATTATTGAGTAAAGTTTTAACCGTGTAATTTTAATTTTTGAAGTTACTAAGTTCTGTATGAGTTCAAAAATGTAGAAAAGTATAATTTTGGCAGCAGTCCTTGTAACTGTATCCATTATGAACCATGTAACTACTTTTACTCGAGTACAAATGTCAATTCTTTCCTCCTTTAAACCTGTTTTTTTTTTTTTTTTTTTTTTTTTTTTTTTTTTTCCAGGATGCCAAAAAAGACGAATCTGTCCGAAAGTCTTACAAACACCTGGCTGCCTTACACGAAGTACGGTTCTGTCCACACTGTCCACCGTCTGTCAGCTTTTTCTTTTTTTTTTTTACATTTTCTTCATTCTGTTCTCTCTTTTAGAACTGCAACCAACTGATCCAAACCATTGAGGACACGGGTTCAATTTTACGGGAGATTCGAGATCTGGAGGAGCAGGTGAGAAACTCAAAAGACACGGATCAGGAAATTAAAACTTCTTTTATCAAACAAAACTGACTCCTGTGAGCTTCAAGTTATGTTCTAATGTTGCTCTCTCATCAAAAACAGCTGGGGTCGTATTTGTTTCATTCACATGTTTCAGTAACTTTTTTATTATGAGTCTGTTTACATCTCCAAAGCTCAAAATGCTCTGTTCCACTTTGTGATGTCATGAAGTGGTAGTTTTCAGCAGTTTGAACAGCTCCTTTTACCTTTAGTAGAGACTGGCATATTCAGGGCTGAAATGATTTTTTCAGTTTTTTTCATTACATTTATTGCATATATAGATATACGCAAACATATGAACAACAAATATTACAAGACATATGGGTAATTAATAAATTAAGATTGAAGAAGAATGTAATTAACTTGTTTACTGGGAAGGTTTTCAAATGATTTAAAATTATATTTTCGGTGCCATTTGAATTGAAAAATATTGGGATTCGTATTTTTCCACTTACAGCAATGAATAAAATATTTTCCACAGAAAATGAGAAAAGTTAACAGTTTCAATTAAAAAAACTTTTTTTTTTTTTTTTTTTAATCAAAATAATAAAATAAAATTTTCTCACACCACACAAATATTTTAAAAGGTTTTCAATTTCACCCCCCCCAAAAAAACTTAACATATATACATTAAAAAAAGAGGTTCAACTGATTAACTTTCTGTATTACAAAAAATAAAAAATTAAAAAAAGTTTAAAAACATAGTGAATCACTGTTTTATCATGTGACATCACAAGGTGGAACAGAGTGTTTTCAGTTTGAGAGAAGAAGTTGTGCTAAATGTGCAGGTTTGTGAGTTAAATATGTGAATGAAACAAAACAAAACTCCAGGTCTGTGTGTGACCAGGAAACCACATTAGAACAAAAAACAGAAAACAGCATCATATGAGCCGTTGTAATTGTGTAGAGCTTTTGTTTATTTCTATTATTTTGAATGTGTTTTTTCTAGATTGAGTCAGAACATGGAAACAAAACCGTGGCAAACCTGGAGAGGATTCTGGAGGACTACAAGGCCATTCGACAGGAGAACGCTGCACTCGCCGCTAAAGTTTCTGTTTAGTCCAGTCATGTGTCCAAGTGCGACTACACAAACCTCCCATGACTCTTCTGTTGTGTTTTAATCAGACAATAAAACAAACTTAACCTGTTTATTTTCTATAATTATTCTCTGACCATTTTCACGTTCCTGAAATTGAGTAAATTGTGCTTGAAAATCAGTTACATGTGTTTTTGTATGTAGTTTTGTTCAGTTTATAAGGACAAGTCAGTAGAACGGAATTTTATTGTTAGAGGACTTCAGATTTTAGAACTGAATCCAAAGCATTTTCACACAAAATTAAGGTTTAAATTAAGGTTTTCTAATGATAATATTTTCAATTGCATTTGAATTGAAAGATATTAGGATTAGTATTCCATTTACAATCATAATAACATAAATAATAATATTTTCCGTATTAAATTAAAACATTTTAAATATATATATGTTTTTATTGAAATTGTTATCAAAATAATACAAAAAAATATCGTTTTTCCTAATCTTAGTTCCTACACCAGACAAAGATTTAAAAAGATTTTTACACACACACACAAAAAATGACATATATAAATAAATTTACTTAGGTATTCAATTCAATTCAATTTTATTAAGAACACATAATATCAGGTTCATAGTATTAAAAAGACAACAGTAAGAATAAAAAGATAAATACAGTGCATGTTATAATGTTTACAGACAAGACCTCCAGTGTCTTCACAGCTTAGAGGTGAATCTGACAGAGCTCCTCACAGGACACACTAGAGCTTCAATGATTTGATTACTCAGATTCATTGCTCTACACATAAATGAATAAATACAACCTTAAGTGGTACTTTTTTTTACTACAACTACTGCTACTACTAGTTTTTGAAAAGTCCACATTGATAAGGCCAATATCAAATATTTTGTGTGTAATATTGAGGATGAAAAGCATGAATACAGGTCCAGAGACTCATTCTAACATTTTATAAATGCACATAGTTAAATTATTCACTGTTTTAACCACCGTGTTTTAATCTAAAATTGGGACGCTGACAGACGCTCCTCCTCCCCCTCGGCGGCAGGGGGCGTCCGTGCGTCGGTGCGTTTCCTGAAGCGGCTTCGTGTTGTGGTTGTATGGGGTTAGCATGGGCGCTAGCGTTAGCCTGGAGCTATGCGGGTAAGAGACACAATAAACACACATTCTCTCAATCTAACATCGTAATATTTTGTCTGATGGTTACGGTTATTTAATCTAAAGCTGTGACGTTGATCCTCGCGTTTTTAATAAAGATAAAAACATTATAAGCGCCGTAAGAGCTCCTCAGCTACCGCTAGCATTAGCATTAGCCGTGTTTACAGTTGAGGAGCGGCGCGTTAGATTTTACAGAAACGTGACTTGCGTCTAAAACAACAATCCTGTAATAAAAACACACATAAACTTAACCTGTCATAATGTGTCCACACGTCCCTGTTTCCCCGGGACAGTCCCAGTTTATGTCCCTGTGTCTCTGTCCCACAGATTTATACAAAACCACTGATTTGTCCCAATTTTATACAAGAAATGTCCCAGTGTCTCTATTTTTGACCAAACTGATCCAGCAACAGTAAAGAGACACATAAACTTACATTTGTTTTGGTAAAATAGAGAAAATCTGTTTAAAAAAACGACCAAAACACAAAGAAAATGTGACTAAACTGACTCATGTTCATCATGAATGGACCGAGGGCAGAACAGTTTTCCTTAATTCCTCAGTCGTTTCACAATTTTATTATCACCAACCGAGAGTGTCCCAGTTTTTGCTTTTGAAAATGTGGTCACTCTCGACTGACACAGAGTTTATTCACGGTTTGTTTGCTGATTTGGACAAACCGTTTCCTTTAGGGGTGTGCAGAAATATTGATATATCGTATCGTTTAATGTGATGATACAGTATCGATATCGTGGGCTGTTGTACTGATATATCGCAAGAGGATTTTTTTGGTTTATTTTACAAAATTATTTTGTTCCAGTTCCAGTCTTGTTGTTTGTTCAGAGGAAGGAAACTCGTTTATGTGACACATTTGACATTTTTACTGTTTTTGAGGATCTGGCTCAGAGCATTTTTTTCTCTCTGAGTTTAATGTTTTCTGTTTTTTAAATAAATAAATGAAATAAATATTTAAAGTACCTGGTTATGACAGGTTAGAATATTAAATTCACTCAAATATAGTTAACTTTATATTATATATAAGATTTTACAAAAAACTTGCCTAGTTTTTTTCAGGTTTTTAAATTTTGGTTTATGATTTATAGTCAGGCAGCAGCAGTGCCCGACATTTTGGTTGGAGGAGCTAAAGGGGTGCTAAGGTCTTAAAGTGTGAGCCCACTTATCATGTTAATCTTTTGACAATAGAGTTTACTCTTCAGCCTTCAGCATGTTTGTTTTGCTTTGTTAAATCAGTTTAAATGTGTTTAGCCCCTGTAGTGTTTTATAAAGCCTAATATGGAATTATAGTTTTATTGTAGTCTCATTTTGGACTCATTTTTGTGGTTGTCATTTTGCTTTCACAGCATCTAGTGAAGAGAGGGACTTCTGCTCCCTGCCTTTTTCAGTCCAAACGTGTGAAGAGTGAGTATGCAGCGCCCCCTGCTGCAGAGACAGGTGACCACACACACCTCACACCTGCTCCATGCTGCTGTAGTGAGTCTGTCTGTGTGACTGACTCTGAGCTGTGTGCAGGGCCCGAGGGGAGCATCAGTGCAGATGGAAGCGCAGACGGAAGCGCAGATGGAAGCGCAGATGGAACCACAGACGCCAGTGCAGACACCGGCGCAGACACCAGTGGGGAGGAGAGCCATGGCAGTGAAAACCAGCTGGAACTGGACCTGCGCAGGATGTCTCGCAAACACAACCTCACCAAAAGGAATGTCAGAAACATCTTACGGGTGAGTCTGGTCCTTCATGTGTACAGGAGAGGCCCGTGGAGATTACACTGGAGACACTGTTCAACAATGATGTGGGCGACAGGAGCTCAGTTTGTAGAACAGCGCCTAAATCTGTCTGTGTGTGTATTTGTGCAGGAGGTGATCACACATGAGCGGGTGGTGGACATGATGAAAGCGGCCATCAGGGACACTCAGGACCTGCCTCTTTTTGTAAGATCACACTCTCACACTCCTCGTGCTTTTACCTGTCCACCTAGAACCTCACGCTCTGACCAAACTTTACAAAGACGAGTGGCTCTGGATCTGTGTCCTGTCTCCCTGATTTCAGAGGGTGTGATTGACAGGCGGCTTAACCAAACAGAGAGACCCTTGTGCAGTTTGCATAAAAAAACAACAACAACATCAAAACATGGCGATTTACATGTGAAAAAGGAGAAAGAATCTACATAAAGGTCTGAAAAACGGCACAGACTTATCTCATTTCAAAGATGTTAAACATTTTGTTCTGAATTTTACAAGAATTTTCCAGAGGAGATGTCTTCTGAATTTGAGAGACACATGATATAAATGAGTGTCTGTGGTTGGATCATCCCAAGTTTGGAAAGAGGTTTTTCACGCTCTGTGGTCCAGTTCCACATTTTTCTGGATTCAAACAGAATGTAGAAGGGACGGGCTGCTCTTGTCAGCTTTTCTCTGCTCTGGCCTCAAACTGAACTCGTGCTTGTGTTTTTACAGGAGCCTAAAATGACGCGGTCCAGGCTGAAGCAGGCCGTGGAGCAGGGCCAGGTAACCACAGCGATTATAAAGGTCAGTCCATTTTTCCGTTTTACGTCACGTTCTGAAGTTTTCTTTTGTGTCAGAAGGTGAACTGGAGCCTCCCTGCAGTCGGATCCACAAACAGAGTAAGAACATCTCCTAAAAGTACTCAACTTTACTACAGTGCTTAGATATATGTACTTTAAAGGTCCTATATTACACAAAACTGACTCTTGTGAGCTTTAATCCATGTACTAATGTTGTTTCCTTCTCAAAAACAGACCTGGAGTTCACACGTTTGAGTAACTCTTTATTATTAGTCTGGCTACATCTCCAAACTTCCATATACAATAACATATAATTACAGCTCCTTTTACCTTTGGTTCAGTAGAGATTAACATTTACATGACTGAAATTATCCAAATGATTCTAATGACACTGGAGTGGAGTGTTTTCAGTCTGAGAGAAGAACTCAGTCTAAATGTGCAGGGTTTGTATTAGACACGTGTGAATGAAACAAAACACAACTGTGTGATGAGGAAACGACATTAGAACAGATTTAAAACCGTGTAATATTGGGCCCTTTAAGTTCCAGTACTTATACTTTTTCTTATACTTTTCCTTAAATAATAATAAAAGTACTCACTGCTGGTTTCTGGTGGGCTTCAGGGCTCGGGGTTCGTGGACATGGAGCTTGAGGAGGAAGAGGACTCGTCTGATGAAGAGTACTGTCCTGATGAAGACGAAGAGGAAGACACGACAGATGAGGTCAGCAGATTCAAAAATAGTTAAGAGTTAATTATAGAACAATGAAAGACTTAGACACTGTTTTGTCTGTGTGGATACTGTACTGCTTTGACTAGAATGTTCCAAGACAAGAGTCGGTTCTATTTGAATCACAGTCTATATAAAGAAGTAGACCACACACTCTGTTCAGCTCCAGTCAAATGAAGGTTAAAGGAGTGAATTTGCAGCTGAGTTCCATTTTAGGAATAGGAATTGATTTACAAACAAAAAATAAAAACTCTAAGTGTGATCATGTAGGGCAGGTTAATATGAACATTTTGTCAGTCTCCCTCGTCAAAATGAGGAGCAATTACAGAGTGAATGGGAGTCGATAGAGTCGGAAGCGCCCCCATGCTCACTTTCTGTTTACAATGTGGTGGCCAGTAGGTTAAGAAAGTTTGGAAAAGTGTAGTGCCAAACTGTGGAACATTTCAGGTAAAGTAATAACATCTCCATAAAGCCAAGCTGGTGGCAGACGACTGTGAGAATTCTTTTAAAAACCTCTGGCTCTTTGTGTTTGTGTGTTTGAGCAGCTGTTTCTGAGCGATGGAGACAGTCTGGCTTCTCCTCTCAAAATGCAGTCGTCCTCTCAGACCAGCACTCCTCAGAGCTCCGGCCAGACACACTCCAGAACCATTGACTCCACCCCCCGCCACGCAGCCCCGCCCTCTGACCCGCCCACAGACTCTTTCTTAGACCGACTCAACGCCGTAGAGGAGGAGCTCAATTCCAACCCTGCCTACTTCTACCAGGTAAGACGGAAACCCACGGAGAGTTTAAACAGAGCTGGACAGAAGAATTCTATGATGTGTGACCTGGTTTATGGTTAATCCCTGTAATTTACTGTGATTTCTGGTCATTTAGATCCAAGTATTATATCTTTTGAATGGGGAAAACTGTACAAAATAATTCAAATCAGGAAGCAATAATTGGTTGTGCCATTATTCAACCACACTGTACACTAGTTTTCAGTGATTGCAATCTGTTTAACTGTAAGATTTCCTCCTGTGAGCGAACTCATTTTCTAATGTTCCTCCTCAAAAACAGAGCTGCAGTTGTGTTTTGTTTCATTCACACATGTTTGAGTAACTCTTTATTATTATTAGTCTGTCTACATCTCCAAAGCTCCAAATGCTCACAAGTTGGAACAGAATGTTTTCAGTTTGAGAGAAGAACTCGTGCTAAATGTGCAGGGTTTGTGAAAGAAACATAACACAACTCCAGGTCTGTGTGTGACGAGGAAACGACGTTAGAACAGAGATTAGACAACAGTGTAATACAGACCCTTTAACTCCTCCTTCAAAATGTCAAATGTTTGCATGTCTGACAAAGAAGTGGATGACTCTCTCTACACAAGTTTGTTCCTATTACGGATGAGTGCGATTGGAATGATCAGTAGAATGTAGAATGTGTGTCTCTGTTGTTTTTAGAATAATATTTCAACACTGTAACCCTGAGTAATATCTGTTTTAATTTATTTTAACCTGTTGCCAGCATCTTCCCCTTGACTTTTGTCTTGGTTAATGTATTATTGTGAACTGTCCCTGTACAAATAAAAAGCATACCCTTCCATACCAAAATGTGATTTAAGTGACTGTTTCTGCCCTTCAGGATGAGGACCCGTTGGCCTGCCGCACACGCTCAAAGCTCCCCCTGGTGGATGTGCCTATAAATCGTCTGGAGGCGGAGCTTCTCGCCCCTGACATCACCGCCGACATGTACGCAAGCCCCTCCCACCAGACCAGAGACCCTCACTGGACCCAGTGGCTGCAGGGCCTGGTGGCTCCGGAGAACACAGGTACAGAGTTTAACAGGCTGATACTTTTGGACCGGGTTAGGCTGGTGTGGGATCTGACAGGGGTGATGTTATAGATCTAGTTCCAGCTTCATCCGCTCCACTCTCACAGTTTAAACAGGTACACAACAATATTTAATTCACATTTTACCTATAGCAATTATTATTTTCACATACAGACTTAGCTGGTTTGGATATTGTCTCAAAATATCGGTTCAGTCAATATTCTGGATGGACATGTTTGAACCTTTATTTACACAAAATGGTTCTGTTATTACTTGAGACATAAATAAGAGCTCTATGGCATATTTTGATCAGTGATGTCTTATTTTTCTTCGAATCAGTATCGAAACTGAAAAAGCTGGATCAGTGCATCTCTACTCATTGATAATGATTCATTGTGATCATTGTTTTGGTCCCTGTTTATTCCCTGTTTGATCCCTGTTTGAGTCCATGTTTGGTCCCTGTTTGAGTCCCTGTTTGGTCCCTGTTTGAGTCCCTGTTTGAGTCCCTGTTTGAGTCCCTGTTTGGTCCCTGTTTTGGTCCCTGTTTGAGTCCCTGTTTGAGTCCCTGTTATGTCCCTGTTATGTCCCTGTTTGGTCCTTGTTTAGTCCCTGTGTAGTCCCTGTTTGTGTCCCTGTTTAGTCCCTGTTTGTGTCTCTCTCTGGTCCTTGTTTGGTCTCAGTTTGTCTGTGTTTCTGGAGTTCTTTTGTACCTCAGCAGAGATGATGGTGTAATCTGCACAGTCGCATATTAAACCTGTTTAAACTCCTCTTTCCTTGTTCAGAGGAGGCAGAGGACGAGGACGACCCAGAGTACAACTTCTTAGAAGATCTGGACGAGCCCGACCTGGAGGACTACAGGACCGACCGAGCTGTGCAGATCACGAGTATGTACCCACACAGTCCACAGAGACAGACCTGTCTGTGGAGTAAACTCTGTCTCTCTGGTGAATAGAGTCTTTGGTGAAGTCTTCAGTGACCTACAACTGAAGTGTTTTTCATTAAAGACCAGTTTATATTATTATTATTATTAAGAACTGTAGAGTTTGTGTCCTGAAAGTGCAGGGACCAGTGGGTGGAGTCAAGATAAATCTGTTTCCACTGCAAATTTCTCTGATCTGACCAAGATTTTAAAACTTATATCAGGTTATTCATCTTGTTTTCAGATTTATTATCCACTTACTAGTTCTGAGATGCTTCGTTGTAGTTTAGAGGTAGTTTATAGAGGTCTTGCTGCATGAACAGATAATTTCATTTAAGTCATTTTCTGATTGATGTAAGTGTTTATATCTTAAATTTTGGAAAAGCTTTTTTGCAGTCCATTCTACACATGAATGTCAGAGTAGAAAACTGACGGTTGTATGTAGAGGAATTATTATATACATCGTTTATGGTCAGAACCTGTCTGTGTATCCTCGTCTTACTGTTTCATTTAAGATTAAAGATGGGAGAAACTGCATGCACATACACTTAAAGAGGTATTGTTTTATTTTTTTAACTTTTGTTTTGTGTTGTGTATTTCAGAAAAAGAAGTGAATGAGCTGCTGGAGGAGTTTTTTGAGACGGTAAGAGCTAAAATCTCACCACTATTACAATCTAAAAGTGCCCACGATAAATACTGAGCCCCAAAATATTTAGCTCCATCTTCCATATATTGAGCGATAGGTTGTTATAGTGATTATGGTGGTTGACGTTTGTTTGCTGCTGTCGTTGTAGCTCCAGGAGCAGGCCGCTGAGGAGGAGGAGCACGAGGAAGCAGACGACGAAGAGTCATCCACCCCAGGACCTCAGTTTAATGTTCCTCAGTCTTTACGGTAAAGTCTCGCTCCCCAGGCCTGGTGCAAACGTCTGTGTTCCTCTCGTTGGGACAGAGCAGCAGAGCGGTGCTGTCTCTGTTTGGGTCGAGAGGAAAAGCATCTCCTCAAAGCCTCAGATCTTCCACATCACAGTCACATGAGGAAGAGGGCTCACAGGGACAATACAAGTGTTACAGGCTTCGTAATAGTTACCATAATTACTGGAGTGGTAAGGGAGCTAAACATCTCATCAGCTTTACCAATAAGAACATCAGATTGTTTAGCTCTGGCACAGCTTCAGTAAAAAGCCCTGGTAAAGGAATTTGACTCGTTTTGGGAAAGTTGCTCCTCTTACCGTGTCTGTTACTTGAGTTTGCACATGCTTAGTTCTACGCCAGTTTTGAGAAATTAGGATACTGCGTTTACAGGCTCCAGTGTCCTGATGCTCTCAGAATATCCCGGTCAGACGAATCTGGTCCTCATAACCTGATCCTCATAACTGGGACACTGGCTTATCCAGGAGACTGAAATCAGGAGGTCTTTACATGGATGCTCACAAAACCAGGAGACCGAAAAATAACTTCACATTTATTGATTCTTACTCGAGTAACACAAGATAGTCAAACTCGGATCTGAGCTGGATGTTCTTTGCTGTTTTCAGAAATTACTGTTTTATTTAGCACTGTGTTCAGAGGACCAAAGAACCAATCAGGAGCGAGACTGTTTCATAACATAAACTTTAAAAAATATTTAAATCCTCATCGCTCCTAAAGTGATCTTTGTCAGATTGAGCCTCGCCGCTCTAGCAGCTCTCGTTCTGATTGGTCCAAACGCTCCACGCCGTGACCGTTGCAGATGTCACACGGGTGGGAGGAGCTCGCCCGGATTCAGGAAGTAAATGTGGAAGAGAAAATTATTTATGGGCCCATGCGCCAATGAGCACCGGCCCCTGAAAACAACACGACGCCATGTTGGTTTCAGCTTCAGATGTGATTATAGTTCTGTGGTCAGTGTACAGTAAGTATCCACCTGACTGTGTCTCCTTGTTTCTGTTCAGACTGGAGCCTTCATTAGTGCCACTGCTGAATGCGATGAAGCCCAATCAGAGCAGAAGAGCCCTGCAGGACACCACCAACACCCCACACACGACGAACATGACGCACATGACGCACACCAACCACACGACGGACACCATCCACACCGCCAACACCCCCCCCACGGCCCACACCCAGGTTCTGAGCGCCCCGCCACAGCCCCACAAGACCCAGGACAACCTCAGCCTGCAGCAGCACGTGAGCCAGGCCCCGTGGAACAGCAGTCATGTGACCCAGCTCATTCTGCTGCCACAAACTTCTAGTCCAACTCTGAGACTGAATGAGCGTCAGAGAGGACAACTCCAGCAGCAGATACAACAGGTAATACAGGACTACATTCACACCACACTCCCTACAACTCAGCCTTATGTAACATATAATACTCCCTACATCTCTGCCTTATGTAGCAGATACTACTCCCTACAACTTGCCCTTATATAGCAGACAATACTCCCTACATCTCTGCCTTATGTAGCAGATACTACTCCCTACAACTTGCCCTTATATAGCAGATAATACTCCCTACATCTCTGCCTTATGTCACAGATAATACTCCCTACAACTCGCCATTATGTAGTGGATAATACTCCCTACAACTCAGCCTTATGTGACAGATAATACTCCCTACAACTCAGCCTTATGTGACAAATAATACTTCCTACATCTTGCCCGTATGTAGCAGATAATACTCCCTACAACTCACACTTGCATAAAAATATCTACTAAAAGGAAATACATTACATCATGGGCTTAAAATCAGTGCTCAAAACTCAGAAGAATTTAACACTGCACTGTGTAACATTTTGGTTGGGGGTTTGTCACCTGCTTGTTTCTATGGAGATGCCATTACTCTGTCTGGAATGTTCCACAGTGTAACATTAAACAGCTCTACTTTACATTTATTCAATCAAAGGTGGTTTTATAGCTCAAAAATCCCTAGTAAAACAAACATTCTAACTGTGAGCGGGGTCGTCTCTCCACAGATCTGACCTGTCTGGTTTGGTCTCCATGAAGATAGAAAGGTTTAATGCCATACTGTGAAACATTCCAGACAAAACAATAACATCTCCATGGAGACCCACCACCACCTACACCCGAAAAGTTACACAGTGCAGCATACAAAAACGTTCAAAAATAACACAGAAAAGCGAAGACATTTCAGAGCTGTTTTAGAAATGGGTTTGTTTTCTGGCAGATTTTTGTAATAATATATTTTGTTTGTTTTGGTTTTCTCAGCACGTCCAGCTGCTCACTCAGGTCCACCTCCTGACCAAAGGGATCCAGGCTCTGAACCACGAGGCCGACATCACCAAAAGCTTCCTGGTAAAAGAGCTCTGCTGCTGGCGTTTGTCCTGATGTATATTTGTGTTTGTGGTTCCACTGGCCTGATGTTTTGGTGTTTTCAGGTGGAGTTGGATCAGTTTTCTCATCGTGGCAGAGGTTTTTCTGACAGTAGTTTCAAAGTGTGTAACCTGCAGCCGGCTCTGGAGCTCGTAGAAGAAGAGCGAGGCGTGTCTTCTGCTTCTCATGAACCTTCTCTGGGCTCTGTGGTTCATCCCAAACGCTGGCTACCCTCCATGACCCCCACCACTAACGGTAAGTCTGTTTCATTAAGTCTCTCTGTCTTTCTCTCTCTCTTACTCTCTTTAGGCCGTCACACACTACAGGAGAATTTGCCCAGTTTTGGCTGCGATTTTTTTTCTCCCCGAGGCCTGTAATGATAACAGATTTTGCTGGACGATTAATTGATCAAGAATTTATTGCGATAAATGATAATATTGACATTTTGAGACCAATTTCAACTAATATAATGACCATGAAATAAAAATGCAAATACACCCTTTCAAAGATCAATAAACTTTCTAAAGAACATTTAACACAGGAGCTGCAAAACAGCCAAAACCAACAGGCCTAAATAAAATACACTTGTTAACATAAGAACAGCCTAATGTGTCTGGTTTATCGCAAGGACTTGAATAAACTATTGTTGAACCGAACACAACCAAAACAATAAATACATGGATTATTAAATCTCTGTAACAAAATATTTTAGTCATTGACTTACATTGGAATATTGTGGCTCTTCTCTCAGTTGCTGCTGCTGTGAGCCTCGTCATTTTTGGTCTTGAAGGATCCTGTTTGGCTCTGAGGGAGCCTCTGTCCTGTCTGGTATTGTGTTGGTGTCTTGTGGGATTTCAGTAGATTTTGGGCTCTCCCGGGGGTCAGGCTCGTTATGTAGCTCGGGTGTGGGTTCTCGTCGTTTACGCGCTCGCTGCATTTGACACATGTGGCCATTGAGACGTGTCAAATAATAACACAGTTTTGACTTGGATCCAAACTAGAAGTGCAGAGCTCTGATCTTTGAACACTTCAGAGTCTCAGAACGACTGGTTTTACTGAAGACAGGAAACAGCTGACACCATAACAGCCTGACATTTATATCCTGTGCTCCACACACAGATCCCGCTGCAGTCTGCAGAGATCACAGATTTAAAATCTCATCAGATTCTCCTCGTGTCTGTGGTGTGCGCTTTTTGTCTCACGTTTAAAAATCCTAAAAATCCTGTAGTGTGTGGCGGCCTTTACCCTCACTCTTTCTCTTAGGCTCTCTTTCTTTTTCTTCTTTGTCTCTCTGTTTCTCCTATCCCCTGTTGAAAACAAAACTGTATATATTCTTCCCTCTGTACTAACTCTTTCCCGTGTGTGTGCCCAGGTCATGCCTTCCCCCTGCTCCCTGCTCAGCTCGCCTGGGTCTTTGCCACTCGCCCGCTCTTTCTGTACCCAGAGCTGCTTCCTGTTTGCAATCTGGACCCTGCCCTCCACCCGTGCCACAAACGCCAGGTCTACACCCAGGGAGAAGACGGGTAAGAGGTGGTTTAACACGGGTAAGAGGTGGTTTAACACGGGTAAGAGGTGGTTTAAGACGGGTAAGAGGTGGTTTAAGATGAGTAAGAGGTGGTTTAAGACGAGTAAGAGGTGTCTGATTGTTTTATTTGTCGAGGGTGTAAGTTCATTCTCCAGTGGATGGGAAATGAGCTTTTGACTGTAATCCAGTGTGTTTACATTTTATGTTTTTTTGTACCAATTAAATAAGTAAAACAGGATAAAAGTGCTCTATCAGGGCTTTGTCATGTCCTCTCTCTCATATCTTCTCACTGATTCTGTTGCAGCCTGATCGTTCTGGGTCTGAAGCACTTTGAGGGTGGCTTCAAACCCGAGCAGCTCATCACAGACTTCCTGGTTTGTAAAACGCGATCAAACTTCACTAAACACATCCGAGAAATGAGCAGCAGGAGAGCCCCGCCCAACATCATCAAGGTCAGTCTGAGTCTTCAGGGTCTGGAGGTTCTGAAGGTTCTGAAGTGTGTGGCTTTAGCTGGATGTTCTACAGCTTTGTGCTCTGTGTCTTCAGTCTTTCCTTGCGTCCGGTGGAGTGCCTCCTCTTTCTCTGGCCTGTTCCCCTGTGGATCCATCAGAGCAGTGCCCCCCGGTGGACAGATACTGCAGCCACTGTCCCAACTGGCTCAAGGTTTGTTTAAACACGTTCACTCTTCTCATTATTGCTCACTGAGTTCTGTCTCTCTTAACGCCACTACTTTAAATACAGACCAGGAAACGCAAACCTGTAGCCTAGTCCAAATTATAGACTGTATATATGAATAGACATAACTAACCCACTTGCCGCCTCATTCCAAACAGGAAGTGAGCATGGGGGACGCTTCTGGCTCCATCGACTCTGACTCCAATTTACTATATTGAAAAAACTTCGCCCCTGTCTCTGTAACTCCTGTGACTCCTCATTTTGGTCTTAAAATGTTCATTAATCTGCTCTTCATGATCCTGGTGCCTTTATATCACAATTTTATCTGTGAATCAATTCCAATTCCCTATTCCTAATATGGAACTTCAAATTTTGCCCTGTAACTGTTTCATTTGACTGGGGCTGAACGCTGTGTCAGACTCCCTTAGTCCACTTCTTTATACAGATTAGGGATGCAACTGGTCATGATATTGATTCAATTTCGATGCGTTTTAAGATGTGTCTCGTCATTTTTCCTGAGTATATTATAATAACATTACATTAATGAAACATTACATACATTACACACAATACATTACATTACAACTCCTGTACAGTTGTAGTTGAAAATAAGACCAGAGCTTTGAGTCAAACTTATGAGGCAGAGTCTGAGAAAAAGTCTGTGTATATCGCAAGTCATGTGTGCGAATACGAGCGTGTTTGATTAAAGCCGATGTGAAGCCAAAAGCAATTCTAGAGTATTTAAAAGTGAATCTTTTTGTCATTCCTGAAGTGAGTGAAAGATCAAACCCTCCTCTGTTAGAATATTTCAGCTGTAAGTCGCTATGGAGCTGTTTTCTGCTGCTTCTGAGGAGGACGCCCAGAGAACTGGAGAACCTTTCAGGAAACAGCGCACATGGAGAGACACGTGTGCATCGACCGAACACAATCATCACAACAATCATCCCACCAGTGTTGAATAGTTCAGTATTATATCGCATATCGTTGCATCCCTAATACAGACTGTGGTTTTAAACTAGAAGTCTTGTCTTTAGGCTGACTTTCGCTCCTGCCCCCTCAGATCCCACTCGTCGGACTTATTTGTAGAGAAAAGAGAAGCAGGGACTAAGTTTAACCATGTAGAGCGAGTTCATATGAACATTTTCAGACCAAAATGATGAGGCTCACAGCAGCAGTTACAGAGAGACGGGGGGGACACTTTTTCAATATAAAATAAATTGGAGCCAGAGTCGTTGGAGCCAGAATCATGCCCATGTTCAGTTTAGTTATGTCCATTTAATATAAACAGTTTGTGGCTCTATTACTATAGCACTATTGTGCTTATTATCTTCATTAAGAAAACCAAATAAATACTACTTAGTTTGTATTTTTTGTCTTCCACAGAACAGTCGAGAGGCCATCCAGAAAACCCGTCTTTCCTCCTCTCCTCCTCGTTATCCCCAGTCTCTTCCTACTGGCTGCACGTTGAGGCTTCATCCTCATTGGCTGCCTAAGTCCCGCCCCCCTTTGTCCAGACCGAAGCGGCGTTTGTTTACACTCGCCCACAATGGAACTTTAAAACCTCTCGCCAAAAGACACGGAACCCCTGAGTTTATAACGAAAACACTCCAGCACGAGCAAAACGGAGAGAAGACCGGAGAAGACGACGCGCAAACATCTGCTCCGTCACCTTCGTCCGGGGACCTCACCCAGGACCCAGGCCAGTCCCCGACCACTGCCTTTATCCTGAGTCCCAGTGTCCTTCTGAACTGTGAGGCAGAAGCTCAAACATGCGCTCTGATCCCACCTCTGGTCCCTGTGTGCGCCAACATGAGACCGCTCACCGTCCCTCTAGTACCCACCCCGCCCAGCGCCATCCCAGAAACACTGCCAACCCTGCCCGGCACCTGCCCACAAACACTACCAGCTCTGCCCATCGGGTCTACGGGCCCCGTGAACCTGTCCCCTCAGCTGTGCACTGGAGTCGTCCTGTTCCACACCATTTTAGATCCAACGCCTCATCCTCAGAGCACCCACACTACAAACACCAACCCTCACCACAGCGCCGCACAACAAAATGACAAAGGACTCGGAGAAAAGGAGGGCGAGGGTGCGACGGGCAGAGAAAAGACTGTTATAAAATATATAAGTTTACACGAAAAGAGGGGAGGAGTTCACTGTGAAAATGAGGACCGAAGAAAAGACGACGGGGCTAAAGATGGACAGAAGCCCAGAGAACACGGAGGAGATAATGAAGAAGGAGGAACTAACGAAGGAGGAGGACCTGATGAAGGACGAGGAGCTGGTGAAGGACAGGGACCCAGCGAAGGAGGAGGGTCTGGAGAAGGACAGGGGCCCGGTGAAGGACAGGGGCCCGGCGAAGAAGGAGGAGCTGGTGAAGGACAGGGACCCGGCGAAGGACAGGGACCCGGCGAAGGACAGGGGCCCGGCGAAGAAGGAGGAGCTGGTGAAGGACAGGGACCCGGCGAAGGACCTGGGGACGGAGGGGACGGAGGGGACGGAGGCGGAGGAGGAGATGAAGGCGGGGATGACGATGAGGAAGAGGAAGAGTTCGATGATCTCACTCAAGATGAAGATGAAGAGGAAGTGATGTCCTCGGCCTCTGAGGAGTCTGTGCTCTCTGTCCCTGAACTGCAGGTAATTATTGTGACCGCAGAACTTTTAAAGCTCCTGAAAAGAACTTCTGAAGGTGTCAGTGTTGTGAACCTGGAAAGAACAGTCTGGTCTAGATGCTCTGTGCCCGTCTGGTGCCAGCCTCGCCACTTTAAAACCAAAACATGTAGCTGGAAACTTTCTGCTATAGGTCTGTTTTTCAGTTGCTTCAATAAGTAGAGGGCGACAATGTTTTTTGTTTTGTTTTTTTATTTCATGGCCAATACTGATACCGATTGATTAGAATACAGTCAATCAGTCAAACTTTATTTGTACAGCACTTTTCATACATTTGAAAAGTAGAAAAATAGAAAAATTACAATTAAAAACAACAGCAACCCCACCCTAGGGTTTCTTCCATATATACAGCAATTTAGACAGAAACATAAAACGTAAAGCTCCTAAAGATTAGAGTAAAAAATAAATAAATTAAAAATCTTCTAAAAAGTCTTCATCTAATTTTAGCTCTCCAAGTAAAAATAATAATCATTTAATTTAAAACAAATGTAATAATATTAATAATAATAATTTAATTTAAATTAGTTTGAAGTAAAAGCTAAATTAAAAAGACACTTCTTGAGTTTATATTTAAAAATATGAACACTCGCAGAGGACCTCAGATCCTCAGGTCGACTGTTCCACAGACGCGGTCCATAAAACTGAATGATGCCTCAATGTGAGTTTTATTTTGGACTCTTGGAACAGTTTAAAGATGAGACCTGAGGACCTGAGAGTCCGAGAGGCTCATATGATAAAAGCAGATCAGATAAATAAAGGACTAAGACCGTTAAGAGGTTTATAAATCAGTAAAAGAATTTTAAAATCTATAGAGCAATTTTTGGCCGATAAGATCTGCAGATATTTTTGGGCTGATATTTTTTATTATGTCACTCAAATTATGGAACTAAAATTGTGTCATTCTTATATTATTTTATTACCCTTTTTGGTTTTAACCGTATTATACATTAAGAAGCTTTAGGGTTTTTGTGTCAGTGAAATAAATTAGTTTCAATATTATTATTTATCGTCTAAATATTCTTCAGCGATATACTGTACATCAAAATTAGTCACTGTAACAGGTTTCGGTGTGAATACTTTCGTCTGTGCTTTACTGTGTTCTGAAAATACTTCCCACTATCTCACTTTAGTGTTTCAAATGTAGTAAAAAAATGTGAAATTGTGTAAAATCCTTCTCAAGATCCTCCGTCCATCCTCCTTTTGCGTTTCCAGGAGACCATGAAGCAGCTGACGTGGCTGGCCGCTGAGAGGAGACTGGGGGACGCTGACTCAGAAGAGGACCTCTCTCAGGAGGACGAGGAGGAAGAGGAGGAGGAGGACGGGACGACTAAAGAAGAAGAGTCCAAGGAGGAGAGAGGACACGAGACCAGAGGAGACGAAGAGACGACGACGGGAGAGGAGGCGGCAAGAGGAGCCAGCAGAGGCCCTGCGCGAGGGAGAGGTATCTGTGCTCTAAAGGAATTAAAGAGAGAGAATTACAGGTCTATGGGGCATTAAAGAGAGAGTATTACAGGTCTATGGGGTATTAAAGAGAGTATTACAGGTCTATGGGGTATTAAAGAGAGAGTATTACAGGTCTATGGGGCATTAAAGAGAGTATTACAGGTCTATGGGGCATTAAAGAGAGTATTACAGGTCTATGGGGCATTAAAGAGAATTATTACAGGTCTATGGGGTATTAAAGAGAGAGTATTACAGGTCTATGGGGTATTAAAGAGAGACCATTACAGGTCTATGGGGCATTAAAGAGAGACCATTACAGGTCTATGGGGTATGGGGCATTAAAGAGAGTATTACAGGTCTATGGGGTATTAAAGAGAGACCATTACAGGTCTATGGGGCATTAAAGAGAAAGTATTACAGGTCTATGGGGCATTAAAGAGAAAGTATTACAGGTCTATGGGGTATTAAAGATGGAATATTACAGGTCTATGGGGTATTAAAGAGAGAGAATTAAAGGTCTATGGGGTATAAACTAGGGCCCGACTGATATGTTGGGGTTTTTTTTGGAGCCGATATGATACAGATATAACAGGCTTTGTAGGCGCTGATAATTTATATAACAGTCGATATATTTAGTGACGTTAAAATAGACTGTAAATCTTCAACTGATTATAAAACTTAGGATTGACTCTATTAGATTTTAAGTTGGGTTTGTGTAGGTGACATTTACTGTTTTTCTGCCTCTTTGCAATCATATTTAAAGACAGTAAGTCGGCCTAATGGCATTTTTGCATCACATTCTAACCAGTAAACAAAGTAAAAACTACCGCAATCACCCTAAATGTGGATCGTTCACAGTTCTGTTCACAGCTCATTTACATATCAGTGCAGGTCCAGTCACATGTGCAGCTGCTATAGGTCTGTAAACATGAGTCTGTGTGTGTGTGTGTGTGTGTGCAGGTCGGCCCCGCCCCCCTCGCGGCCTCAAACGCAGTCGTCAGGAGCGGATGAGCAAAGACGCGTCCAAACTGTTGCTGCTGTACGACGAGAACATCCTGGAGAAGGATCCTCAGAGAGAGAGCAAAGACACAGCCTACGCTCAGGGATACCTCCACAGGGTGAGTGTGGACCGGGGGAGACTTACATATTTATACTGTGCAGCCACATCACACTGGGGGTGTTCTATATGTATCTCTACGGAAGGAATGTTTAGCAGTTTCGACACAAGGCACACATGAGCAAACACAGTCAAAAAAGTTTTAATATAGTCAAAATGGATGGAAGCACATTTTCATTGTCCTGTGATCAGTTTGAGCGATTTTCAACTAAAACTTCAACTTCAACTAAAACTTCAACTTTGTTTTTCAAAATAAAACCAAAAATAAGAAAACGAAAAAAACAACTATTTTTTATTGTAATTCTTGACGTCGTAACTTTATAACTCATAATCTGATGGATAAAATACACACAACATGTTTTCTGTACGACTGGACTCATTCGAGAGTTCACCAATATTTATTTTATGCTCAACTACAGACAAATATGCAAAGATTTTCCAAATATGCATGGATTTCTTAGCCTGGATTCATCAGCTAAGTTCCACTTGGTGTAAACCGTGTGACCTGCAGCATTAGGATTCGTTCACTCGACAGTAGACCAGGACTTTTTTTATTGAACCAATCGCTGCTGTTTGGTCGTGACGTTTGTAAAGCTCCAAATCCTGTAGGAAGAAGAACAATAACGTTTTTCCCCGAGATAAAATTCACCAAACATTCTCTTTGTTCCGGCTTTAAATCCTTGGGGATCTGGGGAATCGTTGCCAACACAGAATGTCTGTCTTCGTCTACATCCATCTCGACGCTTTGTTTACTGTTGTGTTGTTCCACAAAAACGACACAGACAGACGCCACGAGTTTGATGTCATGGCTTCACAGCTCACAGCTGATTGGCTGATGTGCCGTCTACAACTTCCAGGGTTTTTGCAAATCGTTTAGTGTTTTCTGATTCTGACCTAGAGCTGGAGAGAAATTAAACTGAGCGGAGACACTAGGGGGCGCCAGACTGACTACGGATTTCTGTTCTATACACATGAATATTTCTGAAAGTTACTTACTCCATAGTGCTCTGTTTATTCTTCTGCTTGAGCATGTTACAGAAATCATGAAGGTTTTATATAGAACTGGAGAGAGTGACCAAGTCCCGCCCTCTGTATATGTCGATGTCCGGGGCTCGGCGGGTAAATTCTACCAATTTGTAACAAACGCGAATCAGCCTTTATCCATTTTTTCCATTATTCATTTAAACACAAAATCGAAAAACTGAAAAAACAATTTTTCATTTTGCTTTTGGAGACAAACAATGAAGCTTGTTGTTTTTTTGTTTTCTTATTTTTGGTTTTACTTTGAAAAACGAATGAACGAGTGAGACACGGATTAGAACGACTCACTGGAAAACTGCTGGCTAATGTTTTAGTTCGAGCCAAGTCAGTTTTTCCAGATTGTGTTAAAATAAAACTCAGATTAAACTTGAGTAACAGAGCATCAGACAGAGCAGTGCTTTCAGTTAGCTTCACAAACCCAGGGAACGTTGACGACATCAAATGCAAAGTCCAGCTCCTCTCACAACCTCATGTCAGATAGAGCTGCTAAACTGACCACCACCTGAAGGACCAAAGGGGAGGAGGGTCTGAGGGACGCTGCGGTTGGTCTCCAGGTGTCAGGGCAGTGCTGTGTGATGTGACATAGTACTTGGTGTAATATTCCCGGGGATGTCGTGTGGTTTTCAGGTGCACGAGGCTCTGCAGGACTCCCCGATGAAGATGGAGCAGTTCGTGTCTCTGCTGGGCGAGTTCGAGAAGGTCGGGGAGATGCCGGACGTGGTCTCCTTGTTCCGCAGGCTGCAGTGCATTCTGGGACATCGCACGGACCTGCTCAGAGACTTTGCGGCGTTCCTACGACCCGAGCAGGCGCTGGAGTGTGGCCTGGTAAATACACACTTTCACTGCTCGTAAAAAAACACGAGGAGCTTCTGTTTGACCGTCTGAGCGGCCGGGGCCTTTTACGTTCTGTTTGAATCCTGAAGGTTCTGGAACTGGACCACAGAGCGAGAAAAACCTCAGATGATCCAACCACAGACGCTCATTTGTATCACACGTCTCATAAACATAGAAAACATCTCCTCTCCAAAACTCTCGTAACATTCAGAACAAAAAATATAACTTCTTTTACCTGAGATAGGTCATAATTTGGCGCTTTGATTGTTGATTCTTTAAAAATTAGGGCTGAAACTAGACAGAAATTCCACGAGACGAGACCAGACACGAGATCAAAACGAGATTTTAAAATAATTTACAGTAATGGGATCAATTCACAATTTTATTCACATGATTTTTAATTGGTTTAATTTTTAGATATTGTGTTGTGAATGAATTTTATGTGTTAATAGAGTTCATTTTCTTCATTTTTATTATTTAAATGATTAGACTAAAACTGAATCTGCACGGTGCATAGGGGTACACACAGAGGATGCGCATTCCCTCACCTTCTTTTTTACTTTAAACTAAGTTATTATGGATGAAGAAGACCTAAATATCTCTTTGTGGATCTTTTTTAAACAATATTTAAATGAGGAAAACGCTGCATATTTGTTTATGTGATCATATTATTCTGCGAGCTTTTTAAACCAAATTCAGCTCTGATTACTACGATCACTACGAAATAAAGACTGGGACAGGGTTTAAAGTGTTTTCTGTCTGAATATGTGAGTACACGTCTCTTTATGGAGAAGTATTTTAGCTACAGCCGCTCAAACACACACAACTTTCCAGAACTTGATGTGTGAAGCGATGTGTGTAACTCTTTCATGCTCATTCCAAATGTAAAGATGGAGGATGAAATCTCTTAAGATCATTTTCCCCGTTTGCGCACAGGCCACTGTTCCCACGGTCATGGAGATCCTAGAAAATATAGTAAATTCAATGAAAGTTTTGGAAAAGTCATGGAATTTTAGTATCTCTTTCACACAGCTCCAGTGTTCTGTTCAGTTCTCATGAGTCTGTTCTGATTATTTGTGAATGTCTCCGTCTTTTGTTTAAAAGAGATGACAATAAATAATAATAAATGCACTGACAGGATTTAGAATGTTCAATAACTATAATCCCAAACCATAAGGTGAGTTTCATATTTAGTCCTAAAAGTCTGATCAATTCTACACATGTAGGAGCTGTAAAGTCATGAAAAATTCACTTTAGCTCATGGAAAAATCATGGAAAATTTTTAAAATTTTCTCAGTGAAAAAGAGTGGGAACCCTGACAGTTTCAAGGTAATTTGTGAGATCTCATGTCGCATTCCTAGTAAAAATCCACACAGTTTCTCAATCGTTTATGTTGTTTTTTTTCTCTTTTTTAAGTGTAAGCAGTCATGTTTGTTTTTGACACAAACTGAGCATGTGTCTCTGATTGGTTAATCCACCTGTCAGTCACACCCTCTGACATCAGGGAGTCGGGACACAGCTCCAGATCCTCTCGTCTTTGTGAAGTTCTGTCAGAGCGTGTGGTTCCTGGTGGACGTCTGATCGTTCTGACTCTGTGACTGTCTGTCCGCAGTTCGAGGAGCAGCAGGCGTTCGACCGCAGCAGGAGGTTCCTACGACAGCTGGAGATCAGTTTTGGAGACAACCCATCGCACTACCAGAAGATCATCAAAGCCCTGCAGATGGGCCCTGACCTGAGCCCCAGCAGCGTCAGCGAGGTGAGCAGCAGCCGCACCTGTAGGATCACAATAAAGTCTCACTCTGTACTACGGATGCACATATGGGCTATTTTTTCGTCCGCAACCGTGACGCAAAACTCATCATCCGCCCGCTGTCCATTTGCACCCAAGGTTTTGACCAATTTTCAAAACCGCACTCGCCCGCCATCCGCCCACTGATTTTAGAACGATCATATAGCAAACAAACTAAGGAGCGTGGATAAAAATGCAAACTCTATAGCTCATTCATTCCAAAATTCGCTCAACGTGCATGTTCACATTATTAACTGTCCGTAACAACCCCAAAAGTTGCCTGGTTTTTCTTGCGCAGCTAATTAATTGACGAAGCTGTTTTTTAACCTTCTTGCCTTCGTGTTGGATGTTGTTGCTTCTGAACATTCTGCCGTTGCCTGATGTTATTTCAAAGTCACAGTCTCACTCCATCGGACTTTCTTTAAGTTTTAAATATCCCAAGTGGCAGCCTACACTACAATGTCTGTGAGTTTTAAAATATAACTGATATCGAAACTAAATAGACAGATCGTCTCATCCAGATGAACAGATGAACCTTTATTGAAATCAGGCAATGCACTTTATGTTCCAAATGAAATAGGCAAGAAAAAATATGTCCAACTAAATAAATATGGTCCTATAGCCTCTTCTGTTCATACTACAAGGACAGACTGTACAATGACACTCGCTTTTTCAGATGGAGGTAATAATACTTAACAATATAGGTTATATTTTATATATATATTTTTATTTGAGTAGTTAAACCGTCACCCGCCTAAATTTAATTAAAATATAAATTTTCGTCACGTCATCCGCCCGACCCGCAGTTTAATTGCGGATACTGCAGCTGTAACCGCTATTCGCGCATCTCTACTGTCTGTAATGCAACTCAGAAACTGCAAGCCAAACTGTCATCGCCGTGTCCCTGTGTGCATGTGCTACACGCTGCACACGGAGGCTGCACGAGTTTCCGGCTTCACAGACGACCGCCCCCCGTTGACTACGTCCCTCCAAACCACGTGAATCTGCACCTCACAGAACTACAGTCATCGCGCCGCTATCCTCACTATCGCCGGCACAGAATCTCCACCCTTATTCATTTTCTGTTTTATACATCGCAAAACTGTTCTGAGGTTCATATTTGTAGCCTGTATTGATTTTCAGTTTGAAAGTTTTGCGTAAATTATCAGTAATAGAGTGTTTGAGTTTTTTTTGAGAGAGAGAAATGCTGAATAAATGCAGCGTGTAACAAAAAAGTAATCGTTTGAATAATCGTGATCTCATTATTGACCAAAATAATCGTGATAATGATTTTTTCAATAATTGAGCAGCCCTGGTGAAGGTCATGTCAGGTCTGTTTGATTCTGATTGGTCGAAGCGTCACAACAGGGAATAAGACAAAAACTCAAACTGGAGTTAAATCCAGTTGAGAGAAAAGCACAGACGTCTCCCCTGTCCACAAAAGTACAACGCTCTTCCCTCTGCACGATTTCACAAAATAAAACATCTGTCTGCATCACCATTGTTTTGGTTAGTTTGGACGCTTCACCTTTGGCTTCCGTTCAAACCTGAATGCTGCTCTGTGATTGGTTAACCGTACAGTGGGCGTGCGCCAAGTGCCCAGAGCATGAGACGCTTCAGATGTAAACGCTCAGTGTCTGTTGGTCCTGTGTGTGTTCCAGCTGAGGTCCCAGATGACGTCTCTGTTAAAAGGCCACACCCACCTGCAGGCCGAGCTCTGGGTGTTCTTTGACGACCTGCACCCTCCCCCCGCTCAGCCCGGACAGTTTGAGGAGGCGGAGTGGCCGGAAGAGCCCGAGGGGAGAGAGGGGATGGGTCTCTCCTCTGGACTCTCCTCTGGACTCTCCTCTGGTCTCTCCTCTGGTCTTCTCCTCGGGACTCTCCTCGGGACACACCAGCGGGTTTGAGGAGGTCACTCTTCCGGAGTTGGACGAAGAGGAGGACAGACCCAAACTCCAATCCATGACGGTCAGGCAGCAGAGACGGAAGATGGACTTCAAGGTGAGGCCCAAACGCACTCACACACAGCAAATCACGTACACGTTTCCTATTCTCTTCAATTTTCTATCAAGAGCTCCTACTGTGAACTTCCAGAAGCAAATTTCCCATAAATTTTGAGCAGAAAAAGCTTTAAAAATAGCTTCTGTCATTAAATTCATAATATGTAAGGGTTCTATACCACACAAAACTGACTCTCATGAGCTTTAAGTCACGTTCTAATGTTGTTACCTCCATGGCTCATGTGGAGCTCTGTGTCTTACAAACACATTTACACAAAACAGAAGTGACCTGTACAATAATGTTGCATGTGTTTAAATTCATTACATTAATCTAAATGATCTTTTATTTCCTGCAGTGTGATTGGTCGGAGAAATCGTGGATGTGTCTCTGTCACGACGCAAACAGCCGTAAACCTGGAAAGAAGGCGTGTCCGCGCTGTAAGGTAACTATGGAAACGACACGCTGAAAGTCTCACCGTGGACTCGAGTGGCGGACGCAGACGTGTTTCTGTGTGCACTTGTGCGTCTGTCGTCTGTCGTGTTTCTAACTGTGTGCACTTGTGCGTCTGTCGTGTTTCTAACTGTGTGCACTTGTGCGTCTGTCAGGGTCTCCGAGTGTCCAGGGCCATGAAGAGTCTCCATCCTCTTTACGCCCAGATGAGCTGTGAGAAGGAGAGCAGCCCCCACACAGGTACACGAGGTTTAACAACAACAGCTTCTTACTACATCTGACCAACGAACAGCTGCTGTTTTAAAGCTTTAGAAAATGCTGCAGTGTTGAAAGTTCTCGTATATGCTTGAGGAAAAGAGAGCTGTCCAAAAGCACTTTTCCTAAACGACACTCAGAGATAAAATGTAGAAAGTCTTAAACATCAAGTAAAAACATGAAATGAGCGGCGTCCAAACTTGTGACTGTTAGATGTGTGTTTAAATACTTTTAGTCACATGTTTTGGGTTGTGGAGAGCAAAAAAATAAAAATAAAATAGGAGTTCAGTCTTTGGTCGCTGAGTTCAGGGTTAGTTTCCCCGTTTCAGCTCGAGCTCAAGTCCAGCTGAGAAAAACCACACTGACCTTTAACCTTTTCTGTGTGAGCAGAGCAGAGCGGCGCGTCCTGGGAGGGGCCGTTTCTGCTGCACAAAGACGAGGATGAAGACAAAGACGAGACGGACAGAGAGCCGCCGGAGAAGAGGCGCAGAGAAGAGGCCACGCCCCCCACCGACGATGTCACAGACTCCTCGCCCTCCGCGGCCCCGCCCTCTTCGCCCTCCGTGTCTCCGCCCCACGGCGACCTGAGTGTGAGCGGCCCCGCCCCCTCACAGCCCCACGACGACCTGAGTGTGACCAGCGCCGCCCCCTCACAGCCCCACAACGACCTGAGTGTGACCAGCGCCGCCCCGTGTCAGCCCCACGACGACCTGAGTGTGACCAGCGCCGCCCCGTGTCAGCCCCACGACGACCTGAGTGTGACCAGCGCCGCCCCGTGTCAGCCCCACGACGACCTGAGTGTGACCAGCGCCGCCTCGCCACAGCCCCACGACGACCTGAGTGTGAGCGGCCCCTCGCTGTCTCCGCCCCACAACGACCCGAGTGTGACTGGCCCCGCCCCCTCACAGTCCCACAATGACCTGAGTGTGACTGGCCCCGCCCCCTCACAGGAGCTGACCGTGTGCGCCAAGAACATCTCCATGACGGCGAGCGGCGAGCGGGTCGTCCTCTGGACCAGGTGGGCTCATGTTTCCACTACAGACAGATTTAATAAAATAATAATCAGGTGTGGGACTTACTTTAAAAAAAATATCAAATTAATTACAGGGTTTGTAATTAATTAATCTGAATTAATCTCATAATAATATTTGCCTCACTCCTTTTCTTCCTGAGGCGGGTCTTGTGTTGGAGTTTGTGTTCAGAGCAGAACTGTTCTGTTCTGTCACATGTTTTTTGTTTAAATGTTCTCGTAGGGTTGAGGAGCTTCTTTGATATGAAACTCTTTTCTGCACAGTCTGTAATAAACGACGGCTTTGTCAGAACTTCCATCAGATCGTTTTCAGAATAGAAATGTCGCGTCCCACAGACGCAGAGTCTTTCCTGCTCCACTCTTCAGAACTGTGAGCGTCAGTATGATTATCACACCACGACATGTTGCACTGACAAACGCTCGGCACTGTTTGGCAAACTGATAAAATACATTCATATTTTTAATGCATTCTTTTCTTTGTAATTAATAAATCATAATTAGTGCATTAATGTCCCAGTAATAATATGTTTAAAGGTTCATTGTGTAACTTTTCTGTATCTTGGTGCCAGTGACAGGAATCGTTGGAATCGTTTTATTTCTACAGTTTTACTGTAAAAAGAGAACTTGGTTTGGTTTGGTTTGTTACCTGCTTGTCGACTATGGGCACTATGAAAGATTCTTGGTGGAGGATTTGAAACTTTTTCTTCCCAAAACTTGGAAATCTCCATGAAGATGAACCAAGTTTTATTTAGCACTAAAGACGCCTGTAGCTGAAAGTGTTTAAACACAGGTTTAGAGTGAGCACCTTTACGGACTTTTCATTATCATAAATGCAGAACAGAACCACAATCCTCACCTGAAGTGACAAAGTACTGAACATTAACCACAGAGTCTCTCCCTCCAGAGCTCAGGCGTGAACAGGAAAACACAACTGAACAAAATGTGTGTTATAAGTTACGGTTGTTCTTTTTGTCCAGCGTCTCCCTGACACTGAAGTTTGTTCTGCTCAAGTTCATTTTATCTCAGGGTCACTTCACCTGAGCTGATTTATTAAACTAAACATTAAACAAGGCAAAGATGGAACGTTCAGATCAGACCTGAGTCCAGGAAAGAGCAGGAGCAGGAGTTTTGAAAATGAAAATGCATATTTGAATAAATGTTTCTCTGTAGCTGAAGCTCTTTTTACCTCTGTGTGTGTCTTTGTGTTTGTGTTTTCTGATGTTGTTTTTGGACCCACAGAGACGCAGACAGAGTGATCCTCACGCGCTGTCAGCAGGAGGGAGCCAACCCCAGCACCTTCCAGCAGATCTCCTCCGTCCTGGGCAACAAGACCCCGAGCCAGGTGAGTGCTCCTGCTCCAGGGCACAACGGCAGACTGTGTAAAGAAGTGTTCCAGCCTCGTGAGCTTCATTTGACTCTGTGGTTCTTTTCACCTTCTGTTTTTTTGAGAGATGTTGTTCTTCTTCTGTCGTGTGCAGGTCTCACAGAGGTTCGTGGACCTGATGCGTCTGTTCCACACCACGGCACGACACGCCAGCGCCGAAGACGAACCCACGAGCACCGAGCCCGACCCCAGACACGGAGAAGACTGAAGAGAAACTGATCAGAACCATGGCTGAACCAGAGACACGGAGAAGACTGAAGAGCCCATCAGAAATGAGGCCAAACGAGTCCAAGCGGAACGAAGCCAGAACCTGAACGAGTCTGAGCTGTAAGAGGCCGATAAACTCTGAGGTTCTCACACAGAGGAAGCCACAGAATCTGAGAAATAAACTCTCAAACCGTGTGGGACTTGTGCTCCGCTCAGGTCTTGTGTTTTCAGATCTTGGGTCAGAGATCTTGCTGTCCGTAAAAAAATGTCCACGGGGAGAGAAGTGTCCTTTTTTTTTTTGGGTTGTAAATTGTTGTAAATACAGTTGTAAATTTTGTACAAATCTTTTTTTTGTATTGACTGAATTTTAAATAAATCAGTGAGCAGTGTTCCCACGTCATCTGAAAAAATCATGCACCGTCACAAACGCTCCACCAGGGGGCACCGATTTAAAAGCCTAGAGTCAAAAACCAACCTTTTTTTTTTTTTTTTTTTTTTTGGAGCTTTTCAGACCATCTCTGTGTAACTGTACAAATGTTGCCAATCTGCACCATCAGGTCTAAATCAGGACTAAACCAGGGCTAAATAAGGTCTAAACCAGGACTATATCAGGTCTAAATCAGGATTAAACCAGGACTAAAGCAGGTCTAAACAAGGATTAAAGCAGGTCTAAATCCGGACTAAACCAGGAATATATCAGGTCTAAACCAGGACTAAACCAGGTCTAATACCAGGACAAAACAAGGACTCTATCGGATCTGAACTAGGACACTATCAGGACTAAACCAGGACTGCATCAGATCTAAACTAGAACTAAACCAGTTCCAAACCAGGACAAAACTAGGACTAAACCAGATGTAAACCAGGACTGTATCCGGTCTAAACCAGGTCTAAACTAGGTCTAAACCAGGACTGTATCAGGTCTAAACCAGGTCTAAACCAGGACAATACCGGATCTAAACCAGGTCTAAACAAGGACTAAACCAGATCTAAACCAGGTCTAAACCTCTGACTCTCTCACGTCACATTCACACTCGCTTATTTGGCTGAAGTGTTTTATTTTGAAAGTCCAGGTGAAGGTCACATGAGTTTCCTGTGTGTTTCCGCTCTTTCGCCACACGGGGGCGCCCGCCGCAGCGCCGCCACTTCCTGTGTCCGCGGGTTTGTTTACAACTGTCACATTTTTCTCAATGAACTTTCCCCAAGACGAGAAGGTTTTATATTTTTCACTTTTGTGCGCCCCGCTGCGGACGTGTGCGGTGCGAGCGGAGATGCGGAGGGAGTGTAGCCGCGGAACATGCCTCTGATCCCCGCGAACCAGTCCCAGCTCATCCGCTCGAGCCAAAAGGACGAGTTTTACCGAAGTGTCCTGAGAAACAACGTCAACGAGGCTTTTCAGAGCGCGGCAGGTGAGAAGGACATGAACAGCCCAGTGTCCTCTAGTGTGTCCCCCAGTGTGTCCCCCAGTGTCCCTCAGTGTCCCCCCAAGTGTGTCCCCCCAGTGTCCCTCTGTCCCCCCAGTGTGTCCCCCAGTGTCCTCTAGTGTGTCCCCCCAGTGTGTGTCCCCCAGTGTCCCTCTGTCCCAGTGTGTCCCCCCAGTGTCCCTCTGTCCCCAGTGTGTCCCCCCAGTGTCCCTCTGTCCCAGTGTGTCCCCCCAGTGTCCCCTCTGTCCCCCCAGTGTGTCCCCCAGTGTGTCCTCTAGTGTGTCCCCCCAGTGTGTCCCCCAGTGTCCTCTAGTGTGTCCCCCCAGTGTGTCCCCCCAGTGTCCCCAGTGTGTCCCCAGTGTCCCTCTGTCCCAGTGTGTCCCCCCAGTGTCCCTCAGTGTCCCCAGTGTCTGTCCCAGTGTGTCCCCAGTGTGTACCCCAGTGTCCTCTAGTGTCCCTCTGTCCCCGTGTCTCTCTTAGTGTGTCCCCCACTGTCCTCTAGTGTCCCCCAGTGTCCTCTAGTGTCCCTCTGTCTCCGTGTGTCCTCTAGTGTCCCTCTGTCCACGTGTCCCCCAGTGTCCTCTAGTGTCCCTCTGTCTCCTGTGTGTGTCCTCTAGTGTCCCTCTGTCCACGTGTGTCCTCTAGTGTCCCTCTGTCCACGTGTCCCCCAGTGTCCTCTAGTGTCCCTCTGTCCCCTCCGTGTGTCCTCTAGTGTCCCTCTGTCCACGTGTGTCCTCTAGTGTCCCTCTGTCTCCGTGTGTCCTCTAGTGTCCCTCTGTCCACGTGTGTCCTCTAGTGTCCCTCTGTCCACGTGTGTCCCCCAGTGTCCCCGTGTGTCCCTCTGTTCCCATGGATTTAACCAAAACCAGGAATCTGACCCAGTTTTATACAAGACGTGTCCCAAGTGTCTCTATTTTTTTTTTTAATAGACCAGGACTAAAGGACTAAACAAGGACTTAACCAGGTCTTAACCAGGTCTTAACCACGTCTTCATCAGGTCTAAACCAGGACTATATCAGGTCTAAACCAGGTCTAAACTAGAACTAAACCAGGTCTAAACCAGGACTATACCAGATCTAAACCAGGACTAAACCAGGACAAAACTAGGACTAAACCAGATCTAAACCAGGACTAAACCGATCTCCACCAGCAGTATGAGGGACACATGTTGTTTTAATTTTGCCAAAATACAAAACTCTGAGCTTGAAAATGAGCGACACAAACTTCCTCAGGTGTTTACTGATCCACACGTGACTCGACAATGGACAATGTTTCGTTCTTTTCACACATTTATTTTTCCCAGCTGTTCAATTCCCAACCTCTGTGTCCGTGTTTGTTTGAAAACTTTCTCCCTCTTTTCCGTTTCCCTGTGACGTCGTGTTTACTTCATTTGTTCCGTGTCCCTCTGGTCTTCAGGCTCCAGGCGATGGCTCTTCTGGAGGAGGGAGGTGCAGCTGCTCACGGACTTGGCCTATTACACCCTGACCACCGTCTCAGGTGAGCGCAGCCCCTCGAGTGTCCACCAGGGGCAGCACAGAGTCTGTGAGCGCAGAGCCTCGAGTGTCCACCAGGGGGAGCACAGAGTCTGTGAGCGCAGAGCCCTCGAGTGTCCACCAGGGGGAGCACGGAGTCTGTGTGGGATTAAAGCTCCAGTATCACACAAACCTGACTCATGTGACCTTTAAACCAGGTTCTAATGTTTTAAGTTCTAAAGTTCCTGGTCACACACAGAGCTGGAGTTGTGTTTGTTTCATTCACATGTTTGAGTAAATCTTTATTATTTGTCTGTTGCATCTACAAAGCTCCAAACACTCTGTTCCACCTTATGATGTCATTCAGTAGAGACTGACAATTCCAGTATCACCACATGGACTTAAACCAGGACTAAAACTAGAACTAACACTAGGACTAACAGGACTAAACCAGGACTAAACCAGGACTAAAACCAGGACTAAACCAGGACTAAAACAGGACTAAACCAGGACTAAAACTAGAACTAACACTAGGACTAAACTAGGACTAAACCAGGACTAAAACCAGGACTAAACCAGGACTAAAACAGGACTAAACCAGGACTAAAACTAGAACTAACACTAGGACTAAACTAGGACTAAACCAGGACTAAAACCAGGACTAAACCAGGACTAAAACAGGACTAAACCAGGACTAAAACAGGACTAAACCAAGTCTAAACCAGGACTTAAACAGGACTATACCAGGACTAAACCAGGACTAAACCAGGACTAAACCAAGTCTAAACCAGCCTCTTCCCCTGTGCCCTCTGTGTGCCCGCTCTGCGCCCGCTCTTCCCCTGGCAGGTTACCAGACTCTGGGTGAAGAGTACGTGCAGGTCCTCCAGGTGGACCCGTCCCAGCGCCGGGTCCCGTCTGTGGGCAGGAGAGTCGGGTTCGTGCTGTGCCACAGCCTGGTGCCCTACCTGCTGGAGCGGGTACTGCAGTGTGTGGAGAGAGAACTGGACCAGGACGACAGCTCGCCCCCGCGCCAGGTACCAGAGGGCACAGAGGAGGAGAGGAGGGCACAGAGGAGGGGAGAGGAGAGAGGAGAGGGCACAGAGGAGGAGGAGAGGAGGGCACAGAGGAGGAGGAGAGGAGAGCACAGAGAGGAGGAGAGGAGGGCACAGAGAGGAGGAGAGGAGGGAGGCACAGAGGAGGAGGAGAGGGAGAGGAGGCACAGAGAGGAGAGGAGGAGGAGGAGGAGAGGGCACAGAGGAGGAGGAGGAGAGAGAGGCACAGAGGAGAGGAGAGAGGAGGGCACAGAGGAGGAGGAGAGGAGGGCACAGAGGAGGAGGAGAGGAGGGCACAGAGGAGGAGGAGAGGAGGGCACAGAGGAGGAGGAGGAGGAGGAGAGGAGGAGGAGGAGGAGAGGGCACAGAGGAGGAGAGAGGAGGGCACAGAGGAGGAGGAGAGGAGGGCACAGAGGAGGAGGAGAGGGCACAGAGAGGAGGGAGAGAGGGCACAGAGGAGGAGGAGAGGAGGG